GGTGGGGCTTAGGTTTCTTCCACTTCTTTACCACCAAAAAGCAAGCAATAAGAACAAAACAGTGATGATTGTTCTATACTTACGGCGAGCCACGCATTTTGAGAACCATTCAAACGAGGAGAGTCACCTTTGTCTTCCATCTCTTTGTTCTAAGTTAAATTTAAGCTCTTCTGGGTGGTGGGACGAAGCCGTTTCACCTCCAAATTTCTCTAATTAGTTTTTAATCTGAAGAAAAAGTTGCCTCAAAAGTGGTTTGATGTAATTAATAGCTGTTAAATCTCATCGGCACAAACACACAGCACTTCAAACACATACCGTCTATGAGGTGGATTGGGTCGTGTTGTTGCGGAAAATAGAACGCGCCTAACAAAGGCCCAATGGGCACATAGGTATCTGTGTCACTGGGGGAAAGTGTGTCATAAACTTTCACCCCATTGTCAGGGCTGGGAGAGCGTGAGCCCTCTGTGCAGTGTTATATTTTTAAAGTCTTCTACCTTTTTACAAGAAGAGTTTCATTAAAGACGGGCGTGGGAGCCGGCTTATTCTTTCTGAGCCCTAACGACATTTGATTGGCTGTTAGGTTACTATAGTTGTCAGCGGTGACAACAATGATTGGATAAACGGGCAAGCCGCCAAGCTGATAACTGTGTGTTTGTTCATTGTGTGCGATCATAACGGTTTCAGCTGCTTATTTCGTCATTTAAGAAACTTTCATTAACTAAGGGATAGAGTTGGGGTGGGGACGGGATGGGGGTGAGGGGCTCAAGCCCGTAAGCCCTTCACTACCCACCGCCACTGACTACCATACAGTAAATGAAAAGGGAAAAGCAAATCTGTCTCCCCCAGTCAATATCAGTCGTAAGACTCAATGTGCTATTATCAGCAACGAGGCTAGAAAGGCAAAAAAGTGACTTCCCATGACATTTTTTGTGGGGATCAATTAATTGAACGTTTGATGTCTTCTTCTTCATTTAAGTTAAAAATAAACGACTATAATCGACTATAAATTTCAAGTCCCTATCTCAATTCTAAGACACCTATTGCTATGGAAACATGTTGCTCAACTTCGGAGGCCATTTTCTCCTTTTTGTGTTTCCTCACTTCGCACAATTAAAAGCTCTGTATTTTCGTCAAATATGGGCATATTTATTTCATTATTGTTTTAAATTGTTGGGAAACGGGGATAGTTTTTGAAAATAATGTTAACTTAGTTTTGAAATTTTCTTTTTATGACTAATATTGACCGGTACGGACACATTAATATTAATTTGACAAACTTCAAGTTGTGTAATGTTTCTACTTAGCAGTACCGGTGGCCGGATAAAAACAGTTCCTTGTACAGAGGTGCATCAATCTCACTGGTCAGTTTGACAATGTCCACGTAGAACTTCTCTTGGAGCTGACGGTGGATAATCAAACAAGTCTTGAGATCAGTCAGCAAAGTGATCACCTGAGAGTAGACGCTGTACGGCTTTGGGTGACGACGGTGAAGAGACAGTAACAGACAGCAGAGAAACCGCCAGTACAGAGCTTCCACCTTCTGCCGTTCCTTCAGTCCATCTCGATCTGTGAAAGGCACAGAAAGGCCAATTATTTACATCTGGTGGTTTTTCAGTAGAGAAGCACATTTTGACATGACACTGATCGTTTGAGTAAAGAGAACACACTGGTGACGGACACAATTTATGATTGGGTATTAAGAGAAGAACATTGGCTCACCATTTAGTTCTTTTGAGTAAAGAGAAGCACGTTGACATGGATACTAACCCCGCCTGCACAGAATCTTGGCCAAAGCTCCACCCCTCATGTGACAGACCATAATATGGATATTATCTCCCGGTGTTCTGGACCGCGCACAGAATTCTACACTGTGTAGAATTCTGTGGGACCATGTAACGCTGACTTGGCTTACCACACGGTGCAGAGCGAACTACCACCGTGATACACGTGTGCACAGGACCATAACTGGGATAAGACTCGACCAGTCCCCCCACCGCCCACTTGCGCATCATGTGATAATTGGCTCGCAGGTAGACAATTTAGTATCCCCTCTCCTGCTTCCAGATGCGGTTTCATTTTGGTTTCGTAGTTCGGCACCGCACGAGACCAATGGCCACAGTACCGTTTCGCTTTATGTTAATCATAGTCATTGTCATATGACACGACTATGAAGAACAAAGGTTCATACGGACACCCCTTCTTTGTCTCTCCCCCCCCCCCCCC